TTTTTTTTTTCTAGCTCTTGTCCTCCTTTTTGACCCCTAACCATGGTGGCCCCAAAAGCTTAGCCTCAGCTTTGAGCTTTTGTTCTGATCTTCTCTTTGCATCCTCCATGCAGCTGTTCTTCCCTTATCCTGGCTCTCTGACTACCCCTATTTCTTCTACTGTGGTTCAGACTTCGCAGTGTCAACTCCCCTGAAGAGAAGCTTGGGCCATTTTCACTGTTCTGATCATCCCCAAGTATTCTGTAACCCAGGGAAGCACCGAGTGGTGATGTAACAAGAGCGATAAACTTGAATTCCAACAACTGGATTCAAATACCAGCTCTGGCACTTACTAGCTACCGTGTTTCCCTGAAAGTCAGAGCCAGATTTACAGAGCCACCAAGCAAGAGAGCAGTGTTGGCAAGTAAGGCAAGAACAGGCTGACTGGGGAGAGTGTTTTTGATCTCTAGATTTCAGGGCTGATTATTTCCCTACTAGGTCTTATTTTCAGTTACAGGATAGATGAACTTGGAGAAGTTAATTAAATTTTTCCATAGTTTCTACATCTGAAAAATGAGAATGAATAATACCATATCATAGATTTACTGTAAGGATAAAATGGGATAAACAAAAACAAAAGCAATTTGTAAAATGTAAATCATTATTAAGGGTGACTCTGGGTTTTCAACAAAAAAATATTTATTATGTGTGCTCAGCATTGAGCGCTTGTGGGCAAGCAGACAAGAACCTTAACATTCATGGAGCTCATAGTATAGAGAAGAATATAATCCACTAAGCAAATTAAAAAATAGATACGGTCAATTTTAAGTCTGGAAGAAATAATGCGTGCTTGAAGTACCACCTCGTGGGGAACAGCTGAGCTAGACCTGTAGTAAAGAAGTAGCGGCAACAAAAACCTCCTGAACTAAGTGGCGTCTAAGATGACACCTAAAGACAAGTACAAGGTGAGCAAATCAGAGGGCCAGACAATGAGTGGTGAGGACAAGAGTACAAGTGTTGTAGGTAAAGGTTCCCAATCCTCCTGGTTGGGGAATGGCCAGGAGGAACTTTCTAGAACAGAAAGGGATTAAGGGTGTGGTTGGAACACAAGGCTGTGTATGAAGAGAAGGGAGGAGAATAGGGACAGCCGGGAGGGGCAACATACATGCATTTCCAGTGTAGGCCAGGCAAATGGAAGATAAGGTGATCCAAAAGGAAGCCATGGGCCAAGCAAGCATGCTGGTAAGAAAACAGACGTGCTTGGTTCTGGACGTCACCCAGCTAGACAGTCCGCATCTGAGAGGCCTGTCAGTGAATCCCAGCTAGTGGGGCACAACCCAAAAAAGGAGATCAACAAAGTGAAGGATACATGCCAATCAGTTTCACTCATTAAGAGCAGTGACTATTTTCTTCAAGGCATTTCAACTTCTAATATTTTTTTTCAAAAACTGATATTATTGGGATGCAGTTGCCATGCATAAGGACTGAGTTCCTCACGGGGAGTAGATACACATACATAACCCATCTTTATTCTTCTTTCATCCTCTGTTCCTTCTGGCTCTCCATCATCCTTATTTCTTGGTCCCTTCCCATTTGCAAAAGGCCAAGCTTCCTGTCTCTTGTTATCCATCTTTTATTTTGTTTCTTGTTATTATTTTGGTTTTTCATATAAGAGAAGCCATGTGATACTTAACCTTGTGTGTCTGATTTATTTCACTCAGAGGCATCCATTTGCCTCTGAATGGCTCAGATTTGCCCTTCCTCACCTAATACCCTGTCTCAATGTCTTCACTGCATCCTCGTACAGCAAGCAAGAGCAGGTGCCGTTACTTTTCAGGATATGCAGAAATGAGATGAGGCCTACTTAACATTTTCTGTAATCCCATGTTCAACTTTAATCTTGAAATGGGTAGCTGCAAATGTATAAACTGGGATACTAAATGGGTGATTATATAGATGGGAACACTCACTAGATCCAAAGTTAAGACACGGGTTCTTGAGTTAGCTCCGCAGTCTGTTGTTGGCACTGGGCTCATCCAGATGTGCTCTCTGAGCCTCAGTTTACCCTAAAGGGGTTGGACCCCTGATCCTGATGTGCAGGTCCTTTGATGCCAAGCTTTCAGGGCAAAGGAAAGGGCAAAGGCAAAGCTAGGATTCCATGTACACCGGGGAATGTTCAAATTTTATTTTTAGCCCCAATATTTATTTTTGTTCCAGTTTTCTGTTGTTTCTTGTTCCTCCTTGAGGTTCATTCCCTTTTCCCTTGGAGATATTTAAGAAGCGGCCTTTTCATCACTTTAAAACTGTAAATATGCCCTTGAAGCATGCAAAGAGGCTTTTGTGTACTTACAACTCGAGGTTATTATCGTACAAATAAGTCACTCGAGTGCAGCGCATTCCTCAGCCTGCCCCATTTAAAGCTTTATTAGGTCACAAGGTCCTATCTCAGGAGATAAGGCTCTCCCACTTTAAACAGGAACTATCTGATGGAACAGGGTGTCTAATGCTCCGCGGTGAGAGCAAAAGGACTTGGTCCAGCCCGAAAGACAGACACACTTCTCTGTGACAAGTAGGTGCTTCACTTAAAGTGGTTCAGTCAAGAACAAAGATTCTAAAACTAAACCAACCAGCTGCTCCGCTATGGCTCCCACTCGCAGCCCGTGAAAAGCCCAAAGCATCACACCATCCGCAGACAGCGACCCAGCCTCTGAGCAGAGGCTGTTGTAGAGCCTGTACTCTT